TTTGTCTGCTTGCTACCCCAACATGTATCCACGAACCCCTTCAAGTGCTTGTAGGCATTTTTATCGGAGGCGCCCGTGAAATATCCTCTTTGCTCTAGCAAGGTCAACATAACATTTGTGATTTGAAAGTTCCCCGCCCGGATTCAGGGAGGAACAATAGCACTGGCGTATCCTTGATTTGGTAAAAATCTGGGAGCCACTCTCAGTGGTGCCGGAGGAGGGTCTGAAATATTGTTGTTCTCATTTGCATTTACATTGGCATTTCGGCCTCTCCGTGGAACTTGAGGTAAGACCTCATCTTGTTCTAGATCCTCTACCTCCTCCCCCGCTATCACATTGCCGAGATGGTCATTTGCATTAAGAGCCATTTGTACTTGATTGATCAACGCAAACAAAATTAGTAAACAAGAAGGAAAGAGAAGCAAAACACAAAACTAAATAAACAGATAGTTAACACCGTAAGCTCCCCGGCAACGGCGCCAAAAAGTGATCACAGCCAACTCGACGCTACACTAAGGTAGGAAGAGCGGGTCGCAATAGCTTTTACCCAATATGAGCGTCACGATCGATTTCCTCAGGGAGCTAGAAGTAGAGCTGGATTGTCTGTCTATCCTAGAGATGTGTTTGTACTCCTAATGTCACTTCAAACATTTTTGAGTTTTCGAATTATAACTAATTTTATAAAACTATTGAGTAACTCTAAATTATGCTACGAGAATAGTGCTAAGTTGTATCTAATGGGAAGAAGGGCACTAGGGTCGTGACACCACCTAGGTGGCTAATTGGCGGGTAGATGTTACTAAGGTTCGATTGACATAATTGGGGCTTATACTATAGCCGTTGTACAATTTTACCCACTCTCACACCTCTCGGTAGAGAAAGTGATTTTGCCCAATTGACTCTCTCGAGACCAAATGGGTAGACAAATTATACCAAGCAACTAGGATTCAAGTAGTGTAATTACTCTCTCGAGGTTTAACCCGTTAATTGGGACTATCATTTCTCATGAGTCCATTCCAATTCCTTGTTGGGTTAATTTTGGGGTCATAGATTCTCTTTATCAAGAAAGATTAAGCACACAAGGCTTGAATCAGTGTTTGCAATCACCAATTCTTGATTAAAACATAAAACCAACCCAAATAGCAAACACCCATAGTCAATCTCACACTAGATGGCAACACCCATCAATTACTCACACTAGGGTTGAGCCACAATCCTAGCTAATGGGTTTAGCTACTCATGCTAGATAAAGAAATTGAAGAAATAGATGAAGAACTAAGCATATTAATTAATTGCTAAAATTAATCTACAAGAATCTGTTGTAAATGTAAAGCAAAAGTGCCAAAAATGGCTACAAAAGTCGGTCTCACGAGCACAGCTATCAACTGATCTATCTGAATACCTAAAAAATGGTAAAATATTCTATTTATACTAGGCTGGAAATACTGGACAAAAATACCCCAGCGGGGTCAGTGCGGGCTGCATTAAATGGACCGCGGCCGCACTGGATTCACTTTTGCTTCTCTGAACTTGGACTCTGCGGATCGCGGCCGCGGAGGGAGCTAGTGCAGTCCGCGCACTCACGACCGCAGACCATATGGCTTTAGCTTTGAAAACTTTATCTCTCTGAATCACATGATCGCGGATCGCACAAAAGAGTAGTGCGGCTGCGGCGCCTTCACCGCGGACCGCGAGATGTGTACCGCGGCCACGCTTCCTCTAGCCTGAATCACCAACTCTCTGAACCACCTAGTGCGGCCGTATTCCATTTTGCGCGGTCCGCACTAGGCCTTCTTTTCTTAGATTCCTTGATCTTTGATACTTGAGCAGGTTTCACTCCTTTTTAGCCAATCTTTGATACTTGAGCAGGTTTCACTCCTTTTTAGCCAATCTTTGACATTTCGTCACTTTGTCGATAAAATCTGCAATCAAGCATAACTTGTAAGCCTTTTAGGACTATTTTGTAACAATATATGATCAAAGCATAGACAAGTAGGGGCATAAAACATATTAAAATCCTAAATTATCATACACTTCCTCGTCTAAGTCTCCATATAGGAGTGCGTTACCTAAATTATCATACACTTCCTCGTCCAAGTCTCCATATAGGAGTGCGTTACCTAAATTATCATACACTTCCTCGTCCAAGTCTCCATATAGGAATGCGTTATGCACATCTAGTTGACTAATAAACCGGCCTTTAGCCACTGCAATTGCAAGTAAGCAGCGTACTGTATCCATTTTTGCTACAGGTGCAAAAGTCTCATTGTAATCTTCTCCTTCTACATGAGTGAATCCTTTTGCAACTAGCCTCGCTTTGTAGCATTCAAATGTTCCATCTGCTTGATATTTAATCTTGAATACCCATTTTCTACCTACAACTTTCTTTCCTGGAGGGAGTGTTTTGAGATCCCATGTGTTGTTGCTTTCGAGAGCTGAGATCTCTTTTGCCATCGCCTCCCTCCAACGCTGGTCTTTTATTGCCTGAAGATATGTTTTGGGCTCATCATGTCCAGTGATGGCTGCTTGAAAGGCATAGTGAGAGGAAGAAAAATTGTCATAGGATAAGTATTTTGATAAGGGATAGCCATTACCTGAAGAGGTTGTTTGGTGAGCATCCACCTTTGAGGCTTGTTTAGAAGTAGCATGACACACATAATCTTTGAGATATTCAGATTGTTTCTTGGTTTGAGCCGGCCTTGTGTTAGCTACTTCAATATCAGATTGCTCCAGATTGTTACCTTGCTCTAGTGTATTTGGTTCTTCAATCACTCGATCATCTTCAGTTTGGTTAACAGGCTGCTCATTTCCCTTCATTTATTATTCTTTCTTCATCCTTTCTCGTGTCTTCCTCATCATTGAATAAGACATCAGTATGCTTGAAAGCTTTTGTTACTTCTTTAGGCTCACTGATTGTCAATTGTTGAGTGACATAAGGAAATACTTTCTCTTCAAACACCACATCTCGTGAAACAAAGGAAGTCCTTTGCGCGACATCATACACTTTCCAACCCTTTTGTCCTTGAGGATACCCTATGAAGATGCATCTTAAGGCCCTTTCCCCAAACTTGTCTTTTTTCCTATGACTTGGTCTAGCATAACATAGACATCCTAGAGTTCTCAAATGATTGTACCCGGGTGTTTTATTGAAGAGTAATTCATATGGTGTTTTTGTTGCGGAAGCCAAATGTATATAGTGTGAATGAGTCACAACTACTATACCAAAATTTATGACAGCCACCAAATAATAAATAAGACAATAAAGCAACAATAAAAGGACACCAGAATTTACGAGGTTCGGCCAATTTTGCCTACTTCCTCGGATACAACCAATATTTTATTCCACTCCAAAAATACAAGTGAAATAATACTAAAGAGAAAAGATACAAGTGTCTTAAGAAGATAAGAAGACAAATGAGAGGTGTGTTTAAATCCTAAACATTTGGCCTTCTTTTATAGGGTGAAGTACCAACCAAAATTGATACTTCACCGATGTGGGAGTTCTGCCACTCAACAGTTTTACCCTCATTTGCCTTCGTAAGAGTTCTATTGATTAGATGTGCTGCTGTAAGCACACAATCTCCCCAAAAGTATAGTGGCAGATTTGCTTGAATTCGTAATGCTCTTGCTACATTTAAAATATGTCGATGTTTTCTCTCAACTCTCCAGTTTTGTTGGGGTGTTCCTACACGAGACATTTAACTAATTATTCCCTTTTCTCTATAGAATGCCTGCAAGGATGTTCCTACAAACTCCATGCCATTGTCGCTTTTGACTTTTTGCACTCTTAGACCGAATTGGTTTTCAACCATTGCACAAAACCTCTTTATCAAATTACATGTTTCACTATTTTCTTTAAGAAGATAAACCCATACCCCTCGACTATAATCATCGACAATTTTGAGAAAATAATGTGCTCCCAGCAAAGAAGGAGTTTTATATCTCCCCCATATGTCACAATGAATCAAAGCAAATGGTCTGGTCTCTTTATTATTACTATCATCAAATGGTGTCCTTGTATGTTTTGCTCTATAACAAACATCGCAAGACAAACTAGAGTTTTTGCTAAACTCGACATTAACTAAACTAGATAATTTAACCATGCTTGCATATGAAGGATGTCCTAATCTTGCATGCCAAAGACCTTCATCTTCGCTTCGAACAACAGCTAGACTCCAACTTGGTGCCATGCCTTCTAAACAGTAGACCCCATCAGTGATTTTACCCAGTCCAATCTGCCTCTTCAGTGAATGGTCCTGCATTATACAACTAACAGAATCAAATAATATTGAGCAAGCATTGTCCCTTGTTAATTTGTGGACTGATATTAAATTACAAGCAAAAGCAGGAATGTATAGGACATGGCGAAGGGTCAAGGTGTTTGATATCTTTGCACTTCCTGCCTCTAGTGCTTTCAGCCTTCCCCTATCGGCCATTATGATTTCTATTGGCTTATGTAACACATAGATATTCTTGAGAATTGATTTATGTGTATTTATGTGATGGGATGCTCCACTATCAGATGTTGACTTGTTCCATCGTCAAACCCAATTGACCTGTTGTTTGTTCTTGAACAGCTGTGACATGTAATGCACGTCCAGTAGCTCCCCTGAATTTGGACGCCCCTTGTAGTTGCCTTTTGCTGCAGATCTCCTCGTGTTCCAGTTGGGAGGGTAACCAACAATCTCAAAGCACTGACTCTTCTCATGGCCAACCTTCTGGCAGTGAGTGCATCTGAGATGCGTTTCCTTCATTGCTCTCTTTCCAGATTGCATAATCATGTTCCCAGTAATATGGAAGGCTGAACCTTCTTGTTTTGCTTCTCTTTGCAACCCAATATTTCGTTGTCCTTCCTCCCTGACCACCATAACATATGCTTTCCTTAGATTTACTATGGGTTCAGCATTCAATATTTGAGATTTCACGCCATCATAGAGTCCTGAATCAAGACCCATAAGGAATTGATAAACCCTCTCTTCCTCTTGCCTCTATTGATGCTCTTATCTGGCCACACAATTACATTCTGGTAAAGGGTCAAGATCATTTAATTCATCCCATAACGCCTTTAATTTTGTGTAGTATGTCAACACAGTTTGTCCGTCTTGGATGAGAAGACTGATGTCCCTTCTAATCTGGTAAATCCTTGGAGCCCTGCCTTGAGCAAAACGCTCCTCCAAATCTATCCAAACTTCCCTTGCAGTCTCGGCGTAGGCTATGATGCTATGCAAAGTTTTGTCAAGGGAATTGAATATCCATAGTATAATCATGGAATTACATGTTTCCCACAAGTTTGCTTCTGGTTTTTCATTGCTAGGTTTTTTAATTACGCCATTCACGAAACCCAACTTGTTCTTGGATCTCAAAACGTTCTTCATGGGTCTGGACCATGTCGCATAGTTTGTCCCATCAAGCAGACATGAAGTGAGCAGCATCCCGAGGTTGTCCGAGGCATAAAGATGGAATGAAGAATTGTAGTCCACCAATTTGACGTCTTGCACCTTTGTGCCCATTGCTGATTTTAATTGATTTCTTCTGTCGGATTGTTCGCCTATTGCTCTAATACCAATTGTTGGACTAAAACAACCCAAAAATACTCTTAACATGGTGTGATATTGTCCGCTTTGGGTCAAGCACGCACGGTTTTCCCCAAAAGGCCTCACACCATTAAGAGATCCCTACACCTTATATGCAGACTCCCAATCTTTTCAGCTATCAATGTGGAATTTTGTTCGCACACCCAACAATCTTCCCCTCGAACTAAGTTCCACGTGGCCCAGTACCACGATTCACGGGTCAATTTTTCGAGATTCATTGTGTGCCACCAACATTGTTAGAGTATTATGGAAACCGAAGCCCGCAACTAGCTTCTTCTTGTGTGTGCGCCGCCCTGCACCATCACTCCGCCATCTCCATACTCGTTTTGCTGAACCTGGGCTCTGATACCATGTGAAAACTAGTGATAGAGTTTATGAGAAGAAGCTGCTTGCTTCACTAATTTTATTAACAAACAAGACTGTATATATACAATGCTGCGGAGGCTTATCAAACGTGATCTAATAGACTACGTAATAAAGAATAGAGTTCTATACAAACTATACAATGGAAGGAGGAGTCCTATTCTAAGTCTTCCAATAATTGATGCGGCTCAATCTGAAGAAACGTGGTTAAACAAATGTTGGAATCATTAGCCATGTGGTTTTAGATTGAGCCGCGTCAATATCTCTCTTCTTATACTTGTATATGTTTTATTCTGAAGGACGAGTCTAGCTTCGGTAAGCAACTGAATGTGAATCTTAATTTGCTTGTCTTTCTATTCCTATTTGTAGCTGATCTTGGCCATCATCTCTCTGAGTTGTTACTTTATGTTCCTTTTGTATTGCTCAATATAATTTTTAACACCTCTCTTCATATGGTTCTAAATTCTTGATTGCTTTAGGCGTTCCGTATAATTTTTTTGTGCAGTGGTAAATTAAAGAGGAGTCATGTGCACACTAAGCTCCCACTATACACGAGTATATGAAAACACCAGACCACATTGCGTCTTATGTAAATAGTTTTATTTTGTATTTCTGAAACTGCCTAGAAGTCGATCAACATTTATCCATTTAATTTTTTTGTTGATGATAAGTGATAAGTATAATATACTCACAATTCACATATCATATAAGTTGAGGAAGAGTTGTTTGCCTATCACTATGACCCCGCGGCTTGTGCCGCTGTGCATCACAATGTTCATGGTCAGCTCAGGTTTATTATTTTCGCTTTCAAAAAAACGGAGAAAACAAAAGAAAAGAAGAAAATGTGGAATGCTATCTTTTTAAGTGACTGTTGGAACTACGTAATACTATTTTCAAAATTTAAGTTTCTGGTTCTAGTCCAAATTAAATGACTTAGTATGACTTTATTATTAAGAGTAGAGATAAAAAGGTGAAATTTTTATTAACTTTCTTAGGTGAGAAGATTGATTAATTTTATTTTTAAATGATATGATGGAGAAAATTTCACATTGGCAAAACATTAAGTTGCAGCTGTGTAACTTTTGAGCTATATGATACTCCTACATGATATTATTATAATCAACAACAACAATAACAACAACAACAACCCAGTAAAATCCCACAAGTAGGGTCTAGGGAGGATAGAGTGTACGCAGACCTTACCCCTACCCCAAAGGGTAGAAAGGCTGTTTTCGATAGACCCTCGGCTTAAGCAGATGAAAAAGACAATATATCAGTACCAACAGCAGAAAACATAGAAATAATAACATAATCAAAAGTACCAGAAAATAGATGAAAAACAATAACAGTAACACGTAAGAAAGGCTCGGTACTATGAAAAGTGAAAGAGAAGTGTGGACACAACAATAACTACTAGCACTATAGGACACAACCCTGTCAGTCTAGCCTCTCACCCGGTACAGAGTAGCAAAGAGCTCCGCTTCCCCCTATCCTACAACATGTCCTCGGAAATCTGAAGTCTCACCATGTCGTGCCTGATCACCTCTCCCCAATACTGTTAAGATTGAAAAAAGTCAGGTGTCATGCGGAAGCTAGTAAAACAAACCTTCAATGATGATAAATCAGACAACAAAAGAGAAATCTACCAAAAGAGACACAAACATTTAACGTGGTTCGGTCAACTGATCTACGTCCACAACGGAGATGAGTAATCCACTATATAAAAGAGAGTACAAAATATTGATAGAACAACCTCACGAAAAGGCAAACACAAGTGATACACTAACACTTGTACCGTAAAATTCTCTCCCTAAACACGACTCTAAAACCCCAATGGCTACATTGTGGATGCTGCTGAATGAGAAGGGAGGATCCTCAATTTATAGAAGACCAAACCTTTTCCTACAAGAAAAAGGACTAGCCAAATATGGAAGATTTATAATTTTCTTATACAAGAAGGAAAACCCAATTATAGTAAATGTGTTGCCTTTTCCTTCAAGAGATAAAAAAACTAAATATGGTAAGAAAATCAGGACAATACCTAACAATTCTTCACCTTAGCTGGAATTTTCTAACGAAATAAATTTGATCCACCTTCTTCACATAGCCTTGAACAAGCCGCATCTCCAAATCTCCACCATAAAGTTTGTCTCAACGTGCATAGCACACCGGTCAAATTTCTCAGACAAAAATCACGATTATCGCCAAATATGTTGCGGCTAAAACTTAACCCGCCAAGATGAACCTATATTGAACATCGCTCTAATACCACTTGTTAGGACATAAAAAATCATGTGCCATGCGGAAGCTAGTAAAGCAAACCTTCAACGACGATAAATCAGACAACAAAAGAGAAATCTACCAAAAGAGACAAAAATATTTAACGTGGTTCGGTCAACTGACTTATATCCACGGCGGAGATGAAAAATCCACTATATAAAAGAGAGTACAAAATATTGAGAGAACAACCTCACGAAGAGGCAAACACAAGTGACACGCTAACACTTGTCCCGTAAAGTTTTCCCCTTAAACACGACTCTCAAACCCCATATGGCTACATTGTGGATGTTGCTGAATGAGAATGGAGGACTAATATATAGAAGACCAAATATTTTCCTACAAGAAAAAGGACTAGCCAAATATGCGAGATATATAATTTCCTTATACAAGAAGGAAAACCCAATTATGGTAAACATGTTGCCATTTCCTTCAAGAGATAGGAAAACTAGATATGATAAGAAAATCAGGACAACACCTAACAAATACTTATTGGGTCGCCCTCTACCTCTTCTTATACTTGTCAAAGACAACCGCTCACATCTCTTTACTGGAGCGTTTGGACTTCTCCTCCGCATGTGCCCAAACCATCTGAGCCTAGCTTCCCGCATCTTGTCATCCATCGGGGTCACGCCCACCTTCTCCTGAATATCTTCATTCCTAATCCTATCCATCCTAGTTTGCCCGCACATCCACCTCAATATCCTCATTTCTGCTACTTTCATCCTCTGGATATGCGAGTTCTTAACCGGCCAACACTCTGCCCCATACAACATGGCTGGTCTAACCACCGCTCTATAGAACTTACCTTTGAGCCTCAGTGACACCTTCTTGTCACATAGGACTCCAGATGCTAACCTCCACTTCATCCACCCCACCCCTATATGGTGCACGACATCTTCGTCAATCTCCCCATCTCCCTGTATAACCGACCCAAGGTACTAGAAACTGCTTCTCTTGGGGATGACTTGTGATTCAAGCATCACGTCCACGCCCACTTCCCTCGACTCAGCGCTGAACTTGCACTCTAGGTATTTTGTCTTAGTTCTGCTAAACTTGAAACCCTTAGACTCAAGGGCCTGTCTCCAAACCTCCAGCTTCTCGTTAACGCCGTCTCGGGTCTTATCAATCAGAACTATGTCGTCAGCGAATAACATATACCATGGCACCTCCCCTTGAACATGGTGTGTCAGTGCGTCCATCACCAGAGAAAATAAAAATGGGCTAAGCGCAGATCCTTGGTGCAGTCCCATAACAACCGAAAAATGCTCTGAATCGCCTCCCACTGTCCTAATCCGGGTCTTAGCTCCCTCATACATGTCTTTAATTGCCCTAATTTAAGCAACTGGAACGCCTTTCGCCTCTAGGCATCTCCAAAGAACCTCCCTAGGTACCTTGTCATACACTCTCTCCAGGTCAATAAACACCATGTGCATATCCTTCTTCCTATCCCTGTAATGTTCCACCAACCTCCTAATAAGGTGGATAGCCTCCGTAGTTGAACGACCTGACATGAACCCGAACTGGTTATCAGATACAGACACAATTCTCCTCATCCTCCTTTCCACCACCCTCTCCCAAACTTTCATGGTATGACTTGGTAACTTGATACCGCTATAGTTGTTACAATTCTGGATATCGCCTTTGTTCTTGTACAACGATACCATCATGCTCCACCTCCACTCATCCGGCATCTACTTCATCCTGAAAATAATATTGAACAACCTAGTTTACCACTCCAAACCTGCTCTACCCACACTCCTCCAAAATTCAACCGGAATTTCATCTGGTCTGGTCGCTCTACCCCTACTCATCATACGCATGGCCCCCAACCTCCTCAACCCTAATGCGTTTACAGTACCCAAAGTCTCGGTGACTCTTGCAAATTATTATTATAATCACTGAAGTAAATATTTTCAATTGACTAGAAAAGGAAAATGGAAAGTCAAATTTGCAGAATTATATTGTTGAATGAGAATCCAAGTAAAATGGGTATATTATACATAACATCTGTACGTAGCTAATCAATGTTCCCATCAATATGAAATATGCCAATCCTATACTACTATATCAACTTCCACAGTATATGTTGAGGAAATTCCGGTTAAACTTGATATCCAGTAGCTGATCCAGAATTTGAATTTTACGGGTTCGAGTTCAAGATTCTACCACAATTCATTTGATTTACACTGTTCAAAATTAATTATTTGTACTTATTTGATATCAAGTTACTAAGAAACTGATATCTGACTGTAATCTGCAGTACTTTTTCGCTGGTGTGCAAGTGCTTTCAGTATAAACACAGTAGATATGAACTTCTGAGTTTGTATTGACATGGCAGTTTCACATCTATTATTGATCATGATTAGTTTGGTCTTATCGACAGTTTAACTATTTACTACTTCAGCTTGTGCAGAAACAATAGGTAGTTCCGCTGCCGTGTATTAAGTACAGATCATGCTTCTTTAGATGCAAAAGGAGTCAGTAAAATGAACTAGACCACCATATAGTTCCAGAAAATCATCATGTAATTTTTAAGTTCATTTTACTTACAATTTGGAAGAATGTTCAGGTGAAGTCTTCCATTACTTGGCACATTATAAGTTCAAGAAAACTTCTAGAAGCTCCTCTGTGTTACATGCAATAGGGTAACATGTAGTCTAGGGATAAAGAATACTACATTTATACCAAAAATGATGTTACTGTAATTCTTGCAGGAAAACGTCGTCATATGGCTGAGCATTTCCTTCATTCTATCAACTGAACTGCAGCAATAGCTGGTATTGCATCTCTTAATTTTTGAGTAAGAGCTACACGAACTGTCATCACGGAAGCTGCCGGTCCACTCAGTCGAACCTTAACAACGTAGTCATTAATCTGAACAAGCTCAAGTTCTCCACCACCTGCTCCTACCAGATATGGTCTAATCTCTCCAAGAAGCTGACATTATTGGAAATAATGCATTATTTTGGTTCTAAATACTACTTAGAACAAGCTAACAGTAATTACACTTTTCAATAAATTATTGGAAATAAATCTGCAGAGGCCAAGTGTCTTGTACCTTCTCAATATTTTCCTCATTTAACTCAAGGCCAGTCTCAGAGTCCTGAATCTGCTCTACTTCCATTATTTCAGGGATTTTGTCGCGAAGGCGGGTTTCAATTCCCATTTTAAGTGTCATTGTGGAACTTGGACAAGATCCACATGCTCCCTGAAGCTTAAGAACTACAACTAGGCCATCGATCTCATGTAGTACAACATTCCCTCCATCTGCCATTAGGCCTGGCCTGACTTCATCTAGAACCTTCTCAACATTTTCCTCGGTTAGAGGAAGGACACAACTTGGTGACACTGCAATACCTACAGTATCAACAAACAAAATGGATAAAATATCACGACTAATTTAGGTACATTAGTAAATCGAACAGGATTATACGGCAATACCACAATTCCATCGAACAGAGTAATGTAACACATAACAATCTCAGAAGATGCATCGCGAAAAATAAGACCTTAATAAGATAGATCAAGACAAAAAAATGATGTAAGTCAGTTCAATAATTTCATTGGATTCTGAAGGCAAAAATTACAAAGATGATACTAGGAATTCACAGAACAATACTGAGTTGATAACTCTGAATCAAATAAAAGGCAAAAATTGAAGGCAGGTATTTCCTGTTTAAAGTGTGGAAGTGTTTCAGTAGTGGTAGTAACTTCAGCCGAAAAAGAAACAAGACAGTCAGCTGCCTCTAAATTTTAAACAAGCAATAAAAACTAAATGAGATGAATCAGCGTCATTTACCTGCATTATTTCTTCTTTTACCAGTTCGATTGAGCCCAAGGTATCGTCTAACATGAAATTGACCTCTTTGAAAAGAACTTTGCTTTGACGAAAATGGACTGCCCTGCGAAATACAGTTCTATGAAGAGATATTGACATCAACATTACGTCACGGAAAATATAGAACATTTCTCCAGACACACACACAATTTAACAATGTAATCAGAAACACAAAATTGTGGAAACGAGGAGAACAATTTTATATCAAAACACGTCCATTGGATAAATATGTTTTGTAAGTTAGAGTTCAGAATTCTAGCTTCCTTGATTAACGTAACCACAGAAGAATCTCATTATGTAGAGAAGAATTTACATACATAAGTGTAGAAGTACATAATTGTTTTCTGAAACTAAATAGTATCCTAAAATATGCTGAATACAACATCATCCTATAACACGAGTTAACAAGATATGTTTGATATTACTCTTAACAAACAGAACAGTGGTAATACCTTTGGAAAGGAAGTCGAGGCAGGAGAGAATCGTTCTGATGAATGGCTAGCTGATGATGACACCGTCGGTTTGAGACCTTGCGTTTGGGTTGAAATTGCAAACATTATGTACATAAAGTATCACCAAGTGTGAGGGCTCATATTTCTTGAGTATATTCCTGGAGTACATGGTTCCAACCGATTTAGAACTAGAACTAGAACTTGCGTTCAATTGAACCCATATCTTTCGACTTGGAGCATAAATTTATGTGCAAAAGTTCACTAAAATTGCAACAAATTGTAGATGAACCCATAACTTTAAGACTAATGAGTTTATTACTAAGAACTTTAAAGGTTGAAACCATAGAGTTTACATCCTGGATCCGCCTCTGTAATACTATAACTCTGCCC